GTTCCTTGAGAACCTTGGGGTGTAATCCATCTGGTCCTGGCGATTTGAACTCATCTAGGCTGGACAGGTGCTCACTTACTATTTTCTTGCCTATCTTAACTTGTGTTTCTATTCTGTTTTTTATGGCACTATTTTTGATAGGTTGGTCTGTTTTTTCCCTTTGTGTAAAGACAGATGCAAAAAACGAGTTAAATAGTTCTAGAGGGCAGGTCTGTGTCAGAAAAGGCACAGGTCCTAGGTTCCACAGGATGGCATTCTTTAATTGACAGGACCCAAATCTAATATATGATGTAATCGGTTCCTATTGAAATAACAATGGTCCTTGGTGTTTTCCCCCTTTATAAAATCACAAATAAAACAGAAAATGTGATTCCTGATTATAGCAAAAGGACTTTGCCTTCTTGCAAAAATTTCAAATCAGGGCCATTAAATTAAATTTACATTGGATATAGTTAGATATATTTTCTTCTTATTAGTTTAGAAATCCAAAGTATAAGAAAAGAACTAAAGCTCCATTCACAATCATACTAGCCTTAAAATAAGGCCTACAAAATTCAGCTGACCTTTCTGAGTCAACATGCATAAATGGTACTTATTAATTCTTTTGCTTCCTTAAAGTCTAAATTGTACTTTTTAACAATATTATAATGATAGAAATATCAAGACATTAATGGACAGAACATTTTGGGGGGCTGTAGAATCCATCTATTAAATTGCAGGATACTAATACTAATGTGAATAATGAAGATTTAAAATCAGCCATTGCATTATCTTCTGTGTTTAATCATCCATGATTAAAATAAAGTAATATGTTAGGGAAATCATTTGAATCTAATTGTTTCAGATGAAAATGGCATGAAATCCTTCCTTCTTTTGTTGCCTTGTTTTAGCACAGTGTTTCTCAACCTTGACAATTTTAAGGCATGTGGACTTCAACTCCCAGAATTCCACAGCCAGCAATGCTGGCTGTGGAATTCTGGGAGTTGAAGTCCACATGCCTTAAAATTGTCAAGGTTGAGAAACACTGTTTTAGCGTATTGATTAATCTCATTGACTATTTAGCATGCTATCTTGGGACCAAACCCTATTTAAGCCAGTATATTTTTAAATAGGATTGCATGGTTAATAGGACTGTGGCCACTTTGTAAATAATTGAGAAGAAATGGTTTGGATCTTCCACAAGCATATTATCTTTCTGGTATATATCTTTAAAGTTACCTAGTTTATTTTTTTTTTTAAAAAAACAGCTGCCTTAAGAGCAGTATTAAAAAGGTGATTCCTTGAAGTAGCTGTATATTTTTTTCAGTCTTACTTTGAATTGGGGGGGGGGGGGGAAGGGACTTATTTATTGAGTAGAAGAGATGCTGTGTTTATGAGTGATTGAAATAATTTCTTAATCATTTTGAGATCACACTCAGCCCCCTTGGTTAATTTCTGATTAACTCACTCCATATAACTGGAACAGCTGAAGCAGAACAACAAAGTTGGAAGGGATCTAATCCAACCTTTTAAAACTTTGGTCTTGCTTATTTATTTATTTGATTTTGGCACCACCCAACTCCAAACTGACTTTGGACAATTCACAGTATGACAAAATAAGGTTTTTTTGTAAAGGCAATAATCAGTAAATGATGAACAACCGAACAACTTAAACACATGCAAAATGCAGCCATATAACACAAGATAGAACAGCCAGCTCTTGAAGATCTTCCAGAGTATCATCAGAGGGGGAATCATCTGATCTCAGGGGGACCTCATTCCAAAGGGCAGGCAGCACAATAGAGTCATATCAGCAGGTGACAATGTTTAATTGAAGCGACTTGGTTGGCTCACTAGGATGGCTAGGCAGATGGCTTGGGAGATAAGTGGTCCCTCAATAAAACTCTATTAGGACTTTTGGAGATTGGAAAAACAATGAATCAACAGAACTTATCGAGATGAGTGAAACTGCTTTAAAATGTGTGCTATCATTTCTAGCCAGGTTTAGATTAGCAATAGCAATAGAACTTAGATGTATATACTCCTCCATACTGTTTTACAGCACTCTCTGAGAAGTTTATAAAAGTCAGCATATTGCCCTCAACAATCTGGGTCCTCGTTTTACCGACCTCAGAAGGATGAACGGTTGAGTCAACTTTGAGCCCCGTCAGAATCGAACCCCAGGCTGTGGGAAGAGTTTGCCTGCAATACTGTACTTAACCACTGAGCCATCAGGTTGCACTTCCCTTTTGCACACTTTTCTTTCGGTATCTTCCTACTAATGCCCTTCCCCATTTGTATTTGTGAAGCATAGTTGTTGACATCTGCTGACTAACTGGAATCCAATAAATTCTTTAGGATTCAAAGGCAATTAACTGGAACCAGGGGGGAAATGCCAAAGAGGATATTTATGGAATAAATATGAAAAAACAGAGAAAGAAATACCAATCCATATCCCTTCAACAAGACACAAATCCCAAGAATGGTGAAAAATGGATTCCCTTGGAACTGGGAATTCGGTAACAGCCTTCAGGACTTTGGGTCTACATTGAGGTTTAAATTGTGTGGGAGCTTTTGGCATCTTCTCAGTCAGGCAATATAAATGAAAACATCTGGTAGCACATCTTATCAGGGACTTGATCATAACTTTAGACAGTGAAACCTTTGCCTAGAATATTTTTTATTGAAGACAAGGTCTCCAGCAGATGGCACCTAGGGATGGTCTAATGTTATGGCTTATCAGGACCTTGGAAATCCAGATAGGTGACCCTTTGTTAATGAGATCATTCTTCTTAGGCAGCTATTGTTCCTCTCCCTTGACAACTATTAGATTAAAGAGCTGGTGTTGTCCTCTTTATCTAAATGGTTACAAGCAAGAATACAGATAAGGAGCAGGCAAGAGTGATTAACAACATGCAATCCACACAGCCTAAGTTCATTTCTGGAGGAATTTGCAATGCAAGCATACCATGTTACATACGTGTCCACATAATAATCCTTTCTGCACAGGTATTCCCTGTATATGTAAAGAGCCAAGGGGGTCCATACCTCTAGTCCTCACAGTTTCCTGTGAGAACCAAATCAGGACCATGGAAAGAAAATCCACTCCATCCATTCTAAAACTGCAACTTTGCACAGTGAGATTACCTAGGGATAAAGTTTGCCATTAAAAGTAGTTGAATCCACTGAGGCAGAATTAGTGGCCAGAATAACTTTGCCTGCATTTGGAAGCAAAATATAACTCAATTAGCACTATGTGTTCTAAGTAAAATAATAACCCAAACTGTACTCCTGTGGCCATTGCCACAAAAAGTGGGATTTTTTTTCTTTTCTTTTAAGGGCATGGAGTCACAATATGACTGATAAATGTAATTTCCCCCTACCTACTGAAAGAAATGATTTGTTTCCTGCTCCCCCACCCTCCCAATAAAAAAACAGAACATCCACCTGGTTTAGGATAATAAATGAGGATTAGCAGTAGAGCTCTGAGCACAAAGGAGTTAAACATTCCATATCTATTGGGTCCTGGACTTTAATTTCATAATCTCATATACTCAGCTAACACTAATGCTACTAGTTTGCTTCATGAAATATTATTTTTACTACAACTGCTTAAAATTAGGCAAGAAAAAAGGTAAAGACTCTTAAGTTAATTGTGACTCCTGGTGACTAATTTGAGACATCCATGTCATTTTCATGCTATTATGACAGAGATGGTTTTTCATTCGCTTCTTCTAGGATGATTTTTCAATTTGCCATTATAGCCTACAAAGCTTTGGCCTTTCCTGGTAGTCTTCAATCCACAGACTATTTAGATCCAACCGTGCTTAGCATTTTTTTTTTTAAAGAGCCTCTAAAAATTGGCTTGGTATTATTATCTAAGCTGGACTCAGATCAGATATAGGAAGATGCATAGCTATTTATAAACTATGTTTGTAACTTTTAAAAATTGGACAGTCACTTTAATATCAGCAATAGCGGAGATAGAAAATGCATTTATTTATAATGTATGAAATATTAGAGCGATTTCTCATTTCTCTGTCTCTTAGGCAAGTAATGGCATGGCATTTCAAATAATGCATTTTCTTCAATTTTTTTTTTCCTTCCATGGGAAATGGAGTGAAAATAGCCCTTTTGACATATACGCACACTTTGCAGACACGCTCCATGTATAGAACTGGTGAAAGAAGCTCCTTTTTCATTATTACTACCAGTAAATCAAGGAGCATCTATCTGACAAAAGAGTGAGGGTTCCTCTACCGTCACCACCCAGTATCATTGGACATAATAAAAACTGCTTCTCTTTTCTTGAAAGTGAAGCAGAGAATGGAAATTATTTCAGAGGCACCCATGAGGAATGAATCTATCTGATCCTCCAGGCAAAAGTAACGGGGGTTGTAGGGAGCCTTGATGTACATTAATGCTGAATCTGCTGAAGCTGACAAAAAAAGTAAGCCAATTTTCTTAAGGCAGGATCGATTAAGTGGGCAGCTGCAGTTATTTATTTATTTATTTGCTTGTTTGTTTATTTGGCATCCATCTCATCCTGAACAACTCTGGGCGGGTTCCAGCATTATGGATCCAGTTATACACAAAACCAGCTTGTACCAGGGGGTTTATTATAAACAAAGCATCCCCAAACTGTTCAGTTTATCTGACCGCTTGATCAAGTTTCGTTATATTGAACATAATATAATATACAATATAAAGTATAGTGTATAAAAATAATTTAATAAATATGACTTTAATAGTACTATGAACAATAACAACAACAATAGAGACAATTCAAGGCTTTGCTGACCATCCAACCCTGGGGAACACTGTCTCATTGCCAGCTAGCTCAACTTCAGGACTAGGGACAGGTGTAGCTAAGATTAATTGATGCCAATTGATCTTCCATCATTCCATTATTTATCAGCCTCCTACTGACCACCATACATTTACTGATCCCCTTTTGACCCTCAGCCACTTATCGGCCCCTTAGATAGTCCTATCAACCCTTGGAGGGTCAATATTGACCACTTTAGGCAACACTGTTATAAAATGAAAGCATGCCTAGAAAATTCTTTCCTTTCACAGAAAGGCTCATGTAGTAAACTCCTTTCCCCATAAGATATACCTGAGTTTCAATTCACCTTCAACCATCTCAAGACATAGAACATGCAAGAACTGACATGACCTGGTCATGTCAGCAAGAACTGACATGACCTGGATCACATACGGAGTCAGATTAATGTCTCCTTTTAGAAGACACATTATCTTTTAGATACAATGTCAGAATTTGGGGTGAAAGATCAGGGCATCTCCCAGATCTGACAGTTCAGGAGAGGATTCTAGGAACAAACAGGAGAAAATCTGTTTCAGAGAAAAAATATTGATTTAAAAAAATTGCTAAAATAGAAATATTGACTTAGATTACTGTTAATTTGACTGTGGGCATTTGGGACTAATTTATTGTCTCATTCCTTGTCTGCTTAATACAAATGAGCAGCTTTTTCTGTCAGAGTTGTTTCTGTATTGTAATTTGCGCAGAGCCTTGTATTATCTTGGAAATTTTTCTCTCAGAGGTTCTTTTCAGATGCTGTCTGTCATTAAAATAGCACTATTTTCATCTCCTTTGCCGCTGAATATTTTACCCACTGGATGCTTTAAAGCTAAAAAGGACTTTATACACTCCTTCCCCTTTTATTAACATTTTTATTCTCTCTGTATTTTGTGAATTTGATCTATCTTCCACAAAGCAGCAAGGAAAGGAGGGCTGAATTTCCTAGTTAGGTTTCTGCATACTACTAGACAGGAGGAATGGGAGCCTAGTTTCACTCATGCCCCAGGGTTAGGGGGAGGGTGCATGTGAGGTGTTTCCTGATACTTAAGTGGAGACAGCAAGAACCAGCAAGTGCTGCATCAAGGCAGGAAAGGGAGCTAGAATGTGTAGACCCAAAGGACCTCTGGGAACAGTTCTTCCATCCTACTACTATAGTAGGTTAAAAAAAAAAGGACACTAAAAACCAACCTCATGTCCCAAATAATTTTTTCTTCTCCCCCCCTCCCTCTGTCTTTCAAGATTTTGGGTGGGGTCATGATTGTTTTGTGCCTGTCACACAGGAAGGAATCTAATTGTGCCAGGTAGATGGAGGAAAAATATTTTCTTCTTTTTCACAGTTTTTTTTCCAGCAGAGATATAAAGTGACAAAAAAATAACACAAAGGTTATTTTTATTTTGAGTTTCCAGGCTTGACAGGATAGCTAGATTAGTGTTAAGGGACAAAGCTCTCTCGTATACAATGGAGAAGTGAGATGATATCTTTGTCCAGCTAATAAAAACATCTTGAAGTTCCAGATTCCAAGAGTCTCATGCCTGAAAACAGGGCAGATAGCTCAACTGCATGAGTGGACACAATGAACTGAGCACTGTGATGGGACCTATTGACCCACTTGAGTTAAATTAAGAAATTGTAATTAAGAAAAATGGTATCCCAGAGGGAAGGAAAACATTAAACATTGGAAATGAAGCAAGTGGAAAGATTAAAGACAGCAGTGTTGGAATAAGAGGTTTCTCAACTAAAAATGAGTGGCTGAAAAATGGATTATTACTACTGCAACCAATCCACACTTCTAGAAGCTCCTGTGGAAAAATACAGAATACAGAAAAAGAGGATCCTAACCATTAAACTTAACACTTGAGAAAAGACTGGCCAGCATGGAGGGAAGTCAGTTTATCTATGTGTTAAGTNTAAGTTAATTGAACCCTTTGTTAAGGCCTATGAAATGGCTTGAGATGAAATGGATAACTATGCACTATTTTAAAAAATGGTGAAATCCCTGCAAGAATTGATGCCTGAAAGTCCTAGAAGGAATTTCAAGGCTCTATAGTGAAAGATGTCTGATTCCTTTGAGGCCTTCATCCACAGAACGGACATAACATATACCCAGTGGTGGGATTCAAATATATGAACAACCGGTTCTCTCTATGGATGCCGCTTCCGGAAGTCCATTCTGGGCCTGGGCAACAAAAAATTAGCTACCGGTTCTGCCGAAGTGGTGTGAACTGGCTGAATCCCACCACTGAATATACCTGATGTAAAAGATAGTAGCCAATACAGTTGATGAAACTGAAACAGTTCATGGCCCAACTACTCGACCATATTTAAGATCAAGTATTTCTAATGATACTAAGAAACATGAAAGATACTAAAAGGTGGCTTCAAGACCTCCAGGGGAAATGGAAATATACCAAAGCAACCATCCCAAGATATTCACAAGACGTAAAAGGAATTCTGGTGAAAATCAGTCTAGGACTTAGACCATGTCAAGCACTAAAAATACTACATTATAATACTTTATTCATCTCTCAACATACCACTATGAGCAAGATTCCTGACAGACCCAGCATCCACATGTTTCAGATTAGAGAAGTGGGATACGTCAAGAAAGACTTTTCTGATTCTTTTCAAGATAGCATGCAATGCACACATCTATGGTTGAAAAAGAGTGCATTGATTTGTGCTGTGTTTAATGATGAAATGCAATATATGGTGTGTGTGTGGGTGGGTGGGTGAGTGTGTGTTTGTGTAGGTTCATTTTTAGTGATTGCTTTTGGAGTAACTAGCCAACATTACATGGCACAGTATCCAATTCACTGTTCTTAGACAAGTATTGGGAGAGAACTGCCAATAATTGGGCTGGGTATTTAAGGTGCTCCTTCATAAACTAAAATAATCCCAGGTAAGTTCCGCCCTCCAATCAGACTGAATATGTGCCTTGTATCAAAGTATCTAAGAGGTATTGATTCAAGAATAAATAGGAGGCATGATAATTTTGACCTAGCTATGTAGAGTCCAAAAGGACAATCTGGAAAATCAGTGCCAGGCTCAGGCTTATTACTGACCTAGTCTCTGTTTGCTGTCTCCAGGTGCCTTCATCCCCCGCTGCAATGAAGAAGGCTATTACAAAGCAACTCAGTGTCATGGAAGTACTGGCCAATGTTGGTGTGTGGATAAGTATGGAAATGAGATTGCTGGCTCTAGGAAGCAAGGGACAGTAAGCTGTGGTGAGTAACTTTCTGCAAGAAAATAGGAATTAATTCTGTAATACTGGCTAGGAAAGTACAACATGATATAGAACAAATATATTAGCCATCAGGACAGCTATCTTCACATTTCTGTATTTATTAAACAAATGTGCTCATGCAAAAAAAAATTCTTTTTAAGCATGAAAAACAATATTAGATTGGTAAAATTATCCAGTCTGCTTTTCCTGTCAGTTTAAAAGACAGCAGTGGTTTTATACTTAAAATATTCTGATGGAGTGATTATTGTGGGTGTTTGTTTTGAGGTTTAAAATAATACAATGTTCTCCGTACCTGGGGGGGGGGGGAACCACATACAAATAAGGAACTTATCAGAGTTGCTTTAGGATTAGGTAATGCTTCAGAAATCATTCAGAAAAGATGCCCCTTTTGAAGAAGCCACATCTTTTCCTGGGTGTAGCACTACTCAAAACACATTTTTGGAATTGCAACTAAACCATTGCACAAGCATTGTTGCCACAGAAGTTTAAACTGAACAGTTGATACTAATTCTGCAACCGCACATATTCTTAGGCGCATGTTGCAAATGTCAACATCTCAAACCAGCCAGCCCCACCAAAAGCTCTCTGGACCTTGAGCAGAATCCCGTCCCACTGCCCACCACTGCTGGCCATGTCCTCTTCACTGCTCTGCCTCAACCGTTCTCTTTCAAGTGGGATGCAAACAACACCAAAAGGAATTCTGCTTTGCCAAGTGTCAGGACAGTGATCAGGTGCCCAGACAATTGGTTCTTTTCTATCCAGAGGCAATAAGCACACCAGTAAATAAAAGGATTTCAACCTTTATTATTAACTCAAGCAGACAGATTTAAGAGTGTAATATAAAAAGTATACTTACCAAACAGGATAATACTCAAATCTCTTATAAACTGCTGGAGCTCCTTTATAACAATAGCAGAGATACCCCAAGGGCAGCCAGATTCCACATTATCCAGGGCTAGGTTTTGTGCAGAAGCTCCCAACAAACAACAATAGCCAATTGGTTTTTATCAAAACATGGCATCATATCTTCATAGCTCTTATGGTCATGGGACTGCTGGCACATGACTCTGGAATGAGAACCGAGAGTCTAGGTGAGGATTCTCGCCCTTTCTCCTTCTTTTCAGCAAGCAAGATTTAAAAACAAGCAGCTTTGTGCACAATGAGCTCTAAACTTCTAGATTTTTTCTTAATACGAAGGAGAAATCAAAATATGGATTCTTTATTAAGGCACACTTTCAATTAAGAAAAGTGAAACCTGCCAGGATTATAGACAAGCTGACTGTCAGGAAAGTTTGTCTGCTACTATTGATCTTTGGGGGGAACATCCACTCAGCTCTCAAGGCACACACTGTTTGAAACCCAAATCTGTATACACCATGCAGCCAACAACCAAAGTGTTAAACCAACCACATAATTATTTTAATGCAGAACCACATCACATTTCTTACCCTATCTCAGTGGTGGTGAACCTATGGCACGGGTGCTAGAGGCGGCACTCAGAGCCCTCTCTGTGGGCAAGCGCGCCGTCGCCCCATTTAGGCCTTCAGCTGGGTTTTATAAAACCTTTTCGCTTTAGGTCTCCGCTGCTGTGTGCAAAAAAAAAAAAAAAAGGGTTCAATCAATCAGTCAATTTCAACTACTTGTGGGAAATTTTTTTTTGCAAAGTTGGAATTGATTAATTGAACTTTTTAGTCCCACCCAGTCTGCCGTTACCACCGCAGCCACGCTCACCCAATGGGCCACGTCCACCCAATGGGCCACACCCACCCGGCACCCGACGATGCATAAGTGGGTTTGGGGTTGCAGTTCGGTCTCTAAAAGGTTCGCCATCACTGCCCTATCTTCTTATTTGACTTGGTAGATAGGATCACAATTGGAATATTTCTCGTTCCATTTATATTAATTTCTTGAGATGTCAAGTCACAATCAACATGGTGCTTGTGGGGAGGTGTTTTGAGGCTTGCAATTTACTGAGACTACCAACTCATTTCAGATACCTTCGAATACTCATCAGATGGTGGTGTCTTTTAGTCACCATTGACCTGGAATAGATTTATACCAACTATTTAGAAATGTAAGGTTCTGTCTTCAGCTGTTGCTTCCTCCTCAAAACACATGGTTTGGGGGGGTGTCTTCCAGGACTGTTATGCTCTTTTGAGTTTCCATTGTGATATGGTCCATTGCAGGGGGGAAATGTCTAAAAATAAAACTGACTAGAAGAATGAGTATAACTTAATGGATGAAACAGTTAACGTGCCAAGGCAGGCAACTGGGCTTAAATTATAGCTGTGATTTCTTCCCTTTTGCAGAAGAAGAGCAAGAAACCTCAGGGGATTTTGGTAGTGGTGGATCAGTGTTATTGTTGGATGACCTGGAAGAAGCACATGAAGAAGCAAAAAAGGACAAACAGAAGATACATGTAAGAGCAACCAACGAGGATGATGAAGATGAAGATGACGATAAGGATGATGAAATTGGGTATATATGGTAGTTCCCATAACTCTGAGGACTCATGTTTTGCACAATATCACAATTCATTTTGTATCTCCGCAGAGATAATGGAAACATCTGGCATCACACAGTCAATAACTGTTATGGGCCTCCCAGTAGGCACACTGATCTCCTTCCCAATTGGGCTTTCCTTTTACTTTACTGGTAGCCACACAGCCACAGGCACGCTGGAGATCAGCATGCATAGCTGAATCTGTCACTAAAGTGAGCTGGGAAGACCTTTTGCATGTGGTGCTCCTTGTATACAGGGGGTTAACTTTATACACACACGTGCATTTGGGCTCTTGTGACCACCATACTGCCAGTAAGGACAATTCTCTCGCCACCTGATTTCATTTTGTGCGCTCTATATTAATTTGGAAAACCACTTTCACTCTCAAATTCTTCTGCTGTTCAGAATCACCGCATGCATCGTTCTCGTTTGTTTTTCCCTTTTTTCAGAGTTAAACCCATTCATGCAGAATATCATTTTGAATGAAACAGAAGGGGGGAGTTGGTCCAGAGTTAGTCCTTTTTTCATTATGCCATTTGCTGTCAGCTACCACTCCGCTTTCTTTTCAGCAGCTAAGGCAGGTGATCTTTTTCTCTTGCTATGCAGAACCTATTACAAAAGTCCAAATTGCTTTAGCATTCTGGCTTGGCCGAATTATTCCATTTCATCTCCCTTCTCACTTTGGCTGATGTTGTTCTGCAAAAGGAGAACCGAATGCCAATGGAACTCAAAGTTCTCCCCACTGACTAAGAGTGTAGAGGACAAGATCTCAGTTGACCTTTCAACCCATTAATCAATTTTAGTTCAGTTTAAGTTAATGAAAGTGATGTTGACCTTTTTTTAAAAAAAATAAATGTTGATTTGCATGCTTACACACGAGGCTCACCTTTCCACTTCTAACCTCCTTTTCAAAACACACGAGGAAGCAATGCTTCACAAGAGCATTTCTTTACTTCTTGTTAGTCTTTTTTTGCAGACTTGCAAGTCTCAAATTTGCTTTAATCAAGTTTGCACTAATGCTATGCAAGCTTCTCTTCACTTCCGGAATAACATACCGGTGGATTGCTGAAAATGCTTTTTTTTTTCTTTTTCATTTATTCTAATGATTCCTCATAAGGAAGCACTGAAACTGTCAGAGGCACTAACCATCAAAAGTAATAAGCTGTCTTTCTTTTATTTTAAATTGTTAATATTTATTTGCTCCATTTTGGAAGAAAAATATCCTTAGGCAGTTGTTTCCATGGTTAATATCACTCCTAGTTAACATCACAAGAGAAACTTACACTCATGAACCAGAAGAGTGTGATTAGAATTATTCTATAAACGTCCCTGCATTATTCTATCTCCATAGCAGCATCTTATTGTGCTCAATTGCCATTCATTGTGGGAAAATAAATGTGCTACTGCAGACATTTTATTATGTTTGATGTCCACATAATGACCAAACTTAATGGGCATGGAGGAAGAGCTGGGGCAACAACCAATGCATTTATAATAAGTGCCCATTTTTTCTTATTAAACACAAGGAAATGAACTACTACATACATCTTTTAAATGCTGCAAAAACTAAGGGCCATCTCTGCTTTAGTCTGCTTGATCCTCAGTCTTAACACTAAAGACAAATGCAAAAATATTTGTATCCTAAGGCAAATTAAAAAAAGAAAGAAAAGTGTATATTAAAGATACTACTTCTTTGATATAAATTTCTAATACTTTTTCTACATAACTACAAAATGGCATATACCCACAGATCATTACTTGTTCTATTACAACTTGGCTTATTTATGCCTTTTACTTCTGGCACGATGTAGTCTGAGTTGTTTTTCAACAAAAGTTATACAAAATGGCCTGAAAATGAATCCTTCAAAATAATGCCAAATGTGAGAGCTTAATATTACATTTTTCATATTGTTTAACTCCTCCTAGAGAGAGCAAAATTATTGGCCAGCAGAAAAGGTACTTCCCAGACAGAACCTTTTTCTGAATTTTTTCCCACAAAGATATCTAGTATTTTACTGCACAGTTTGGGCTTTGATATTTGATTCCTAAGGTTATTTGATATTTGACTCCTAAGGAATCAAATTTCTACTATCTATCTTCTACTGTGGAGCCCCAATAAAGAAATTCATAAATCAGCTTTGATTTCTTTTTTAAAGCAACGCTTTATTTATAGCAACCCAAACTGTGATGTGTGCTGTTACATTTAATATGACATACAATGAAGCCATTGGGCTCTGCCCTAACTGCCATTTGGCCTCTGCCTATAGCCAATAATGTCCATTGGAGGTCTGTACAGATCTCCCTAGCAGATAAACTGTTAATCTGATTTTCTCTTTCCCAGCCCTACCCCTTTAAAAAAAAAAAAAAAAAAAAGCCATGAAACTACAATCCTTTAGAAGAGCTGCAACCAGTAGCAGCTGATGGTAAAAGTTATATTGTTGGCCCCATCAGCACGGGTACTGGGTCAAACCTTGGAGCATTGGAAAGCTGTTACATGTTGCTATCACCTTCTCATTCCAATGCTGTAACATATCACACTTGTAAGGTACTTCAGAAAACCAAACCGTGGGATGTTTTTCTTGGACTTGTGCTTAAAGTTCTGTAAAATTAATGAGGTTTGCTCCCAAAGAAAAGTGATGTTAAGTGCAATATACAATATGAATTGCACTGGCCATAGTGTTTAGATTTGGCTGCAGAGCTATTAAAGAAAAGTCAAAAGCCAGTTGGAAGCTGTAATATAATGCCCACTTTTCATTCTTACCCGATTAAAGGTAAGGTTTCTCCTTAATAAAGCTCCTAGAAATCACCTTCCCTTTAGTTGCAATGAGATGCTGTCTGTTGCACACTGGAAAGTAACTGACATTTAGCTTTATTTTCAACCCAAACAGTAACTTGCGAGAAGCTTTTTGAGAGGGTTTGCATATGTGTATGTGCATGTTTGTTTGGTGTCCCCCATTGCTGACTATTGAATCAGTGATTTTTAAAATTTTTAAGAAGAGACTAGACAATCACTTGTCTGAAATGGTATAGGTTTTCCTGCTTGAGCAGAGGGCTGGACTAGAAGACCTCCAAGGTCCCTTCCAGCTCTATTCTATTTGACTAGCATTCACCTCTGCAACTCACAGGAAATTCTATTTAAATCCTATAATAAAGTTCCCACTCATTTAAAATGGATGTAGTAGACATGATTACTTTCAGAAATAAAACAACCCTAATCTGAAACTTTAAAAAAATACAAATCGGGAGATCGGTTGGGTTTAAATGTCATATTAACAGTACATTACATCTGATTATAGACTTGTACAAAAACAGAGTTTGTTTATCTTTTTATTTCTTCAAAATTTGTAATCCATCTGTTGATCCCACAGTCTTAGGGTAATATAGTTTTCGTTTGTATGTGGTACCTCTGTGCATTCAAAGTTGCCAACACATGGTGGTGTACAATTCGTTGAAGAGGTGTTTGAAATGTTTTCCCTGAAATATAATATCCTAACTAAACCATGGCAAAAGATGTGCACATTATAAAGGAGAAAGTCATTTCATATATGCTACGTACAAATGAAGTGTAACTGACAACCTCCTTAGTTTTAAGAACATATATAAAATAAAATCTTAAGGACTTGCCCTGGTCCATCTTCATTTTGTCTGTACCTGCAAACTGTAATCATTGTCCTGTTTGTGATTTCCTCTCCTATGAGTTCCTGTTTGTCTAGAGCAGGGCTGTCCAACCTTGGCAACTTTAAGACTTGTGGACTTCAACTCCCATGGAATGGCTGGCTGAGGAATTCTGGGAGTTGAAGTTCACGAATCTTAAAGTTGCCAAGATTGGAAACCCTTGGGTAGAGAAAACATTTTAAGCTTGGAAAGTGGGCAAGATTTCAAGGGTGTGTTTTAAACCATCATGGACTTATTAATTTCAGGTAGGAAACTTGCTGGAACAACTACAGCTATAATTATATCAATTTATCAGCGACATGTAAAGGAAAGACCAAGCCTTGGTAGCCCCATGACAGCAGAGCCAAAGAAACAGAATAGAACTGTGCCTTTGGAGGAACTGAAAAGTGGCAGCCTAATTTCCCAGTCATTGTCATGTGGAATACTTGCTTCATTAGAAAACAATAAACATAAGCTTTGGAGAAAGGGACAAAAGGATAAAACTACACAGGATAATCTAAGCAAGCCTTATAACCTATTATTCCTCTGCAAAATTGTGCAAAACTAGAACAAGTCCAAACACAAAGCCATGGCAGCATCTCTGATTTTCCTATCAAGCCAGAGAATGCAGCAATTCATTTTCATTAAATTGCTGAGGGGAAAATAATAATAATGTAACTACTATTTTGTCTTACCAAACCAATAATAGGCCTCCTTTCCTAGCTTCTCTTTAAAAAAAATTACTTTATAGCTTTTCATGGATTGAACTGCTACCGGACAAAAGATAACAATGGTGTTTGGCTATGCATATAACCAGAACACAAATTGGGTTATTTTGTACTACGTTATATTCAATTTTGATACAGTGATATGAACCAGCAGCTGGTTCAAAGAGATTATAATCAACAGCAATCTGTGTTGAAGACCAAGCCATATTGTGGACTTGTCTCTAAACATGCAGTTTCCATTCCATTGTTTTATGAATCGTCTTTTTAGAAGATATATACCCTCCCTTTTAATATTCTCATTGTTTCTCATCCATGCTAAACATATTGTCGATACTGTCAGTTTTTCTTGTAATCAGCTATTGGAGTTTCCACTACTACCTCATATATCCCACCCACCCACCTCATCCATCCAGTTACAATGTGACTGCCCAAGTACCATCATTTTAACAGGAAGATCCTCATCTGCAAAGGTTGTACATCTTCCATGTTGCTGACTATCAGGATATCTGCATCACAGCACTTACTCATTTTTGCCCAGATAAATTCTTTCCTTCTAGATAGGAAATGCTAACTTTAGCAGATGACCATTTTCTCCAATGTGTACGTGCATAGGAGAACAGTCCTGAAAATCAACTAACTTTAGACATATTTGAAGAGCCACAATCTTCTATTCTAACCTTTAATAACCTAAATGGTCCTGAGCTTGGTTACAACAGAACATATGCAAAGCATACTTATCTAATCATGGGAGGGAGCAACTATTGCAGGTATATAAATGGCATTCATTACTTTAGCGACTATAGCATCTAAGAACAAGAGGAAAAACTAAACAGTTTTAACAATCACTAGATCTCAGAGATTAGAATTTTGATTTACTTTCATCTGAAGCCTTTCTTCTATTCTCTAGTTCAGTGGCATCACCTGGTACTATAACTAGATAAAAGAAGCTCCAATGTGTATTTCACATTGATGCCAATGGGGAACCTGATTCTTAGATAGAATTGTTGTGACTTAAAACACAAGGATTTTCCACTTATCATACTGGATTCTTGAT